CGTATACCAAACCAACCTTTCCCATAAGAAGTAATGTAAAAATGATTAATCTGTTCTCGTGTAAAAAAAATGGCTGGCTTTAAACACCTTGCTTTCCTGGCTAGTTCCTGCTTGATTTTTTGTGAGATCAGCGTGTATCTTTTTAGCTTTCTCGCAAATAATTGCTTCCGATACGCTGTCTCCAGCACTGTTTTTCAGTTATCCAAAGCAAAAGCAATTTCTCGACATGATCTAATGTCTTCGATCTCTGTTTAGAAATTGATTTAATTCCTTTCGCAACGTTAGCAGATTTAATAATGTCTTTATTTTTCGCAATTGTCCATATCGTTGTTCTCGGAATACGGTAAACAACAGTTAAAATCTCAAACACGCGTGCCACCTTCGTATTTCTCAACAATCTCTTTCATCAGTTCCGTTGTAATTCTAGTTTTCTGTCGCTTTTCACTTGCCTTTTTGCAATTCACGATTAATAAAAATAATAAAATTTTACTTACGAATTAAAATCAGAAGAAATTAAACAAAGTTATGAACCGTAGCACCGCGAACGTCTAGTCTGGTCTAGTACACCGATAGTGCTACTTGTTCATTGATGGCGCGTATAATTGAATTATGTCATATACTAAACAAAAGTCGTATACCAAGCAAAATTTGTTTCGTCCAAACAGGATGTATTCCAAATTGGACGTATTCTAAAGCAGACGTATACCAAGGTACCACTGTAATTCTGTTTTCCTTTTATTTTTTATGTAGCTATTTCTTTGCTGAATGTACTCAGAAAATAAATAGCTATGTGTATGTTTAAAGTGAATTTTCAATTGTTCATTAAAAACTTCAGTTGTATATAGGGATAAAATTATTCTAGTTGAAAACTGTGGTGTTGGTTTAATAGTGAGATAAGTTACACCAATCATGTACAAGCAAATTGGCATGGTGTGTCATCCTCTTTAGTGTTATAATTTTAAAATATAATGCATGTTAATTAATTCTTATTAGATTATTTCAATGAGGAGAAATGAATATTTATTCATTAGTTACTAAAAAAATAGATAAATTAAATATTTATGCAATAATTAATATTAATTACATATAAATAGTATTAAGTTAGCTTTGGTGATAATTATCAAATATTTTTTCAAAGTATTTTATTTTAATTATTAAACAAATTTATTTTTTTCAGATACGAAAAGAAATTATTCTAAATGCTCAAGAAATATCATTCATTCTGTACTATTTTACCAAAAAGTCAGATTTATATCTGCGTTTTAAATTAAACCAAATCAAAACGTAAACATTCCAACAACGAAGTTCAACAAAAATTTTTATTTTGAAAGATAGAGAACATATATAATTTTTTTTTAATTATAATACTCTGTTCTGAATATATTATAAAAATCATATAGAAATAAATCTTTATTTGTGGAAGATTTTACTCCATATTATGAAATTCCAAAAAAGAAAAAAAATCATGTGCCATAATTTTTACAGTTGAGTATTGCAACATATATTTGTTGAAAATGTGTTCCATAAATATATTAAATCATTTTAATGTATTTAATAAAATAGTCCTTAAATTTGTAAAATAGAATTTATATAAATGTTTGTGTGTATATATGAAGGAAAAATATATATAAATATATTTAAATGTTTTATATTGTATCAAGAGCGGGACCATTGATTGTAATTTATGTAATTGAAATTTATTTTGATGTGTTGTATCGAAATTTAATGGACTAAATATACGAAATGTGATATTTATATAAATGATGCAAGTACTTATAAATGATACAAATATTCAGATTTTTATCCAATAAAGAATCATATTCGATATAATTTTAAACTTTAGACTGTATGCATGTTTATAAAATTTCAAAATTATAACAAAAATTGTTTTTGATGCAAGACTTATCAGCTGTAAGAAATAAAAGATATAAATAAACTTAACTTGGCATTTTATCATAAAAATTAGTTTTTTTATTATTTTTGACTAAAAGTTTTTTAAAAATACCTTAATCTATATGCTATAAAATATCAAATACAGTATATTTATCATTAAGTTCTGTTGTTAAGTTTTATTATAAAGGAAAACTAGGATGAAATTTGACAAATGACTTTAAAAATTCCAAGTTTAGTTTTAATCTTTGAAAAAATTTTTTATTTAAATGAGAATTTGAAAATAAATGTTATTTAAAAGACTTTTTTAATATAAAAATTTAATTGCCATTTAAATATGTTTTTTAAATAATTATACAGAAACATTCAGAAGATAATTTGATTTCAATAAAAAGTAAATTTTTTAATTTATAAATCCTAAAATGTATTTTGTATTCATTACATAAGGTTTTTCAGTGCTATTTTATGTTCGAATTTCAGGTAAACAAGATAAAAATTTATGTATCTTCATGCTAAAGAACAATTTGTAGTTAAAAATATTTTTTTTTAATTTAGAATGTGTAAACAATTCATGTCAAAAAGCTATATTATTATTGTTAGAAGTTAGAGGAACAAAAATGTAATTACATATTTTATTTCAAATGTTTCATTAAAGATTGCAGCTTGCTCTAATCATTTTCTATAATACAATGAAACCTGAATAGACTGACACAATACCAGTGTTATAAATCTTCTGTATTTGTAGGATATTTGTGTGTGTTTATATGTTTTGGCGTGTATTTCGTTTAATCTCTCAGGATGAGGTGAAGATTAAGAAACGAAATTTGGCATGATAATTTGTATATAAGGGACTTTGATGCTGTTAAATTTTGGAGGTTAAAGGTCGAGGGAGCAGGGAGTTAGAGGTAATCATGTGCCATATCTCGAGAGTGTCGGACTTAATGAATTTATTCGCTATTAGCATCTACAATTTTTAAAAATAGAACTCCAATCTACCCTCAAATTAATCTTTTTTGCTATTTTATATTAATTAATAACATAAACAGTTTTTCATAACAAAATTTCCTAACAGATGGCGTCACAGACAATAATAGAATTTGCATCAGACCAACAGGTTGGCTACGTGAAGTTTTCTGAGTTTCATCCAAATAGGGACCAGTTTCCCATAGAAAATCTTCATGGGAGGCACTCCACCTTGGCAGATTGCCCGTGTGTTCGCATTGCCTTATCCCGTCAAGCAACCAGCCAACCAATTATGGAGTTCTCAAAAAAGTATGGCCTTACTTTTCCTACCGCAGGTACTGAGCATCAAGGGCGTATCCAGGGGTTCTTATGATGTTGCAACAATCAATTTTGTTACTTTATAATAACGCATATTGCATGAATTCGAAGGTAATTGACTGGCATTCTCCAAAAACGACAGAGGAAAGCATCAAGGCTGTATAGATTATACAGGCCATAATATTAGTTGTGTGATGTCACACGTTGGGGCCGCTTTAGTTTAACACGTACTCGATTTACGTTTTTTTCCCCCTCAGAGATATATCTCTTATAATAATGCAATAAATAATATTTTGCTGTAAATATTTATATCTGAAAGATTATGCATAAGTCTTACGCAAATTGCAACAGAAAATTCTTGTGACCATTTAAGACCCTCTTTTTCTTCTCTTTCGAGTAAATCAGTTGATCTTTCTTCTGGATTGTGTGTTTTGTTGGAAGCATAATACATAAGTATGATAATCTATTTGAAAATTAAGTAGTAAATACATCTATTGTTACACTAGAATGTTTATGCGAAACATTAAGAACAGTACCATCACGTACTGTACCTAGCGGACAGGTGGCTAACAGCCCAAAACTGGTCCTGGATAGAATTGGATGCAGTATACGTGTAGCATCCACCTGAGGTCCTAGGCTTCCACCGGCTAAGGTTGGTGTTCTGTAAAGCATATGCACGAATCTGGCTTTTTGGATGCTGACAATACAGCGTTCCACTCCGCCACTAATATTTGAATATACAATAGCAATCTTATCTTTTTTTTTCACGTGTAATATAGAAATTTGTAATAAGATATGTAATGCGGTTATTATAAAATATTGTGCAATTATTTTCATATAATTAAAATTAATATGTATTTATTTGTTAGAAAATACAAGGGAAGCGGCGCATCCACCACTTCCAATGACGGCACGCCAGTTTACTAGCCTATAGATCGAGGGACTCTAATCGGGATCGGTTCAAAAATTTTTACGAATGGTTTACCCAGATATCTAAAATCTAGAGAAATAGATTCTAAAGAAACAATCCTGCCAACATGTGTTAGACTTTAATGTTTTGACTTAAAATAAAATGACAGTAAAGTTGTATTATCAAGACAATGATAATACCGATCATTGTCATCAAGAGCCTGCTCTAAAGCACAGCTCTTCTTGGCAACTCTTTCTCAAACATCTTGAGCAGGAGGAAATTTATAAGGCCACCCACAATAACACCGCTATTTAATTTTCGTGATATTGACTCCTTCCCTACTGTGTGGAAGTCTCGTTGAACTATAACTCTTACTGTCCTCTCCCCCTCTCTATTCCATCCCCATTTCACACGTGTACGGCAATCCCCGTTATTTCAACAGCTGCGGAATTAGTTTGCCTGACAATGCCCGTTCAACATGGACGAAAACGTTAGCACTTATTTCTTCTACTCTGCTGGATATTAGTTTTAGTGGTTTTAATTCAAGTATACCCAGTTTTTGAATGATAGTAATCTTATCTTACCTCTCACAAATATAAATTGCTGGTAGGTAGGCTTCCAAAAATATTTATTTTGAAAGAATTGAAACACAAAATTTTAACTCAAAGTTTACTTGATGACACAATTATCAATTTAGAAGAGCATTGGTGAAAAGTAAATTGTTAATGCATTGATGATACCATCATTCTTTGAACAACAACAATATAGTAATTTCATATTGCCATCAGGCCCATTCTAAAAATTTCTTAGCTGAAAATTCTTCACTTATTAATTCTTAATGAGAGAGAAAGAATGATATAAATAACAAGATTGATCATTCAGCAAACAAAATAATACATTAAATGATCTTCAATGGTCATTGATTGGTAATTAGTTACACAAAGAAAATTTCTAATTTTGTGTATTTCATTCTGGTTTATCTAAGTATTTGTGTGAAAATTAGTCTTGGATTTTCATTACATGTTGACAATAGCAACTTTAAGTCTACTTCACTTATTACAATAAATTTTTTAGATGATTTTTAGAATAAAGAAACCATCTACAAAAATATATTTCTGAGTCAACCTAAATAATAAAAGAATTTTAACATCAACTTCATTAGTTTAATTTTTAAAAAAGTAAGAAAATGAGAGCTAATTTAAGTCTATATTTAAGGTATTTTACTTGAGATTTGAAATCTTGTTCAAATTACTATTATATTTATTACATTTTATAATTTATGATTATATTGTGATTATTATTATTCATACTAAAGTTTATGTAAAATTTATTAGCCAAATAATTTCCAAACAAAAAAATATTCCTACTTCAAATTATAAAATATTTTCATTATGCCAATTCCATTATTCATTTAAAAGCGTGCTAATCATAAACTATAAATTTAAATAAGTAATACAAATGAGTAATAAATGGATAATCAAATGTCTGTTTTAATTATTGCTTCACATATATGTTTATAATTGGACAGGATAATTAGAGATGCCAACAAAACATTTCTTTGGCCTAACTTATTTCATCAACACAACATTAAAAAATATAATTGATGGCAAGCATTTGAAACATTTTGTATTATTTAATGTTATTAAATACAATAAAGAGAAAGCATGAAGATATGATTACTTAAAAAGGGAAATATATGAAATATGAAAGAAATTAATCTATTTTATGAAAAGTATATAATGTAATGCATGTTAGAAATGTTTTACTGTCTTCATTCAAATAAAATGGAAATCTGATTCTTCCATTTATATTTTTTTTATATTTTTCTATTCAAAAATATTCAGTAAAATTAGAATGCAGATGACTTTTGAAATTTCATACTGTAGTTTGTAACAAGAGAAAAAAATTTTTATTGGGACATAATTACAGTTTTGTTTCAATCAAAATTATAACAAAATACTCAACAATGTGTATCATTCAACTTTTTTATTTAAAATTGTATAATTCAAATTTATTATATATAATAATAATGAAAATATTTTATAAAAATATTGTCTTATATATTAAAAACTGATATACAGCTTTTTCTTTTATCAAAGTATTAAAAATGCAATAGAATGTATCACTTTGATATAATGATTTTCAATATCACAAATTTAGAAATGTGTTTAACAATTTTAATATAATAAATTTTAATGAAATACTTTCAAAATATACAGTTGTGACCTCCAAACTTTATTTGTAATTATTATAATATAAATATTAATAAATTTTAAACATAGACTAGAGAAAATATATAATTATAATTTAGGAAAATTATATTACTAACTTTTGTATACAAACAACTGGTTATTTTACATAAATATTTAGTGTAAAATTCATTTATACATTTTATATAAGAGTTTGACACTTAATGATTTTAAACTTGGATATTTGTGTGCTGATATGTCATTAATAACACAACCATTCTGAAAGACACACAAAATATATGAAAACAAATATAGCTGCATTTTGTTTTCCATTAGTTTTCAAGATTAATAAATTTACAAATTTTGTATAGGAAAATAAATAATTTTCAATATATTATATATATTTTAAATTTATGAAAATAAATTTCTTAATTATGGCATGAGTATTGTGCATAATTATCATATGTAATAGTTAATAAATTTGTTTTCATTTTTGTATAACGAATTACAAAAAAAAGGCACATCATCAATGTTAACAACATTTTTTCTTAACTTTTTCCTTCTTGAGATGAATGGTATGATTAGGTGCTTGTGGTTCATTATTTCGAGGAAGACGCTTTGCTGTAAAATAGACAAGACTTATAAAGTTATTTTATTGTTATTATTTTTTTATATACATATAATACATATACATACATACTTAATTTTAATTATAGAAAAGTTTCATAATATTTTGAAATGCATTTCAAAAGTGAAACAGATTTTTAAAATCAACATGTAAATGTGAATATTCTTTCTGTTTAAGGCTAAATTGCTACTTATTTGTTGATTAAAATCATATAAACACCATCATACAGCTTAAACAAATATTTCATGTGTGATATACAAAGGTGAATTGAAACAAAACTTTTTTGTTTTTCCTAACATGAAAATCACTCTGGAACATAGCGACTGTAATATTTTCAAAATATTCTTGACAGAATTCAATGTATTTCTGCTATTGTTTCTGCCATCCTTGAAAGAGGTATAGTAGCTCATCCTTTGCTATGCTCTTCAGAATTGCTCTGATACTTTGACAACTATTGTTGAAAACAGGAAATGTATTTCCTATAATTTCAGTTTCAATACTGGAAACAGAAAAAAGTTGTAGGGTTCCAAATATAGGCTAAAAGATGGATATGAGATACATGACATGTTTTTCTTGCTCTAAAATTCAATTGTTACATTAGCAACTTGTGAGATAAGGAAAAAATTTTTGTTATAAGTGAGTAGAAAATGACATTTTCTTTGTACATTTCTAGTGATCAAAAGAAGCATCATATTTCCAAGGAATTTTTTGAACAGAAAAAAGAAAAAACCAGTCTCATTCTCAACCTGTTTTAACTCATCCTTGTACAGTACATTTGATTCAAATATCTAAATATATCAACAGATATAAGACAGGACATAATCTGAAGTTTTCACTTAGTTCCTTTAAGTTATAAATTAAAAGGCACTGGTATTTTGTCATTTAGCAATGAGGCTGTTAAATTCTATTTTCACTATAAATCTGTAAGATATCAATTTGGAAAAAAAGCTTTAAATAATAACAATGTACAGAATTAATAATAACTGTAACTATCAAGAGAATCATTCATCTTTCAATGTTATATTAAATAATAAATAATCTAATGTAAAGATTCTATAATTGAAAAATTTTTAATGGCATGATTGTGCTTAATATTCAACACAAGGGGGGGCGTATCTGGACTGCAGCGCTGTTGGTGACTTTTTGTTAACACTTCGAAAAGTATCAAGGAACGTGTACAATTTTTTTTTTTTTTTCAACTTTTCTAAAGATTCTATAATTGAAAAATTTTTAATGGCATGATTGTGCTTAATATTAACTAATAATTATGGAACGTTCTCCGGTTAAACGTGGTCAACCTCCGAGCAGCCGAACGAAGGCCGAAAGCAAAAGAATGCAACAAAGTGCAACCAACACGAAACTGATAACTGATTATAACACAATAGTGGAAAGCAACATACAAGAATTTCCGACAAATTCAAATGGAACTAACATGGATACCATTCCACAACATCTACAAAATTTATCAGGTGAGTGCAGAGACTTTTATTCATCTTCGTCGTCAAATTCGAAAGACACTTTAATGTCAGATCTATGGAGCAAAATCTCGGAATTAATTAATACATCGAATGATAAACTATCTCTACAAATGACATCAATAAAAGAAGACTTGAACTTAATACACGAAACCATAGAAAACAAAATTCAATTCCAAAGAATGGAAGATCAAATAGATAACTTGAAACTGCATATTGATAATTTAAAACTTCAAAAAGATCTGACGCAATATAAAATGGATACTTTGGTAAACGACTATCACTATAATAAAATAATATTATACAACTATCCCACTTCAAAAAACGTCTCTAAACCAGAATTTCTGAAATTTATTAATACTTCATTGGATCTAAAGAACATATCTCAAGACGAAATTTCAGAAATAACTCAAATCAATAAATCAGCTAATCCAGTAATTAGAGTTTCCTTCAATAATAAACAGATTCGAGACCAAGTTTTTAATACGTTTATATCAAAGAAGCAACAAAAACTATTGGTAAATTGGGGAAATTTGCAAATTGCACCATATCTCACTAATGAGTCACGAAAAAGAAGGAAACAATTACTACCAATTTACTACGATTTAAAACATCAAAATCGATATGTTAAACTACGAAATGATATCCTGATAATAGACGAAAACAGAATAACATTTAACCTTGAAACGAGAAGTTTAGTAAATGTGGATACCTTTTTTTCCCTTTAATATATCACCAGAACCAACAAGTTGATATGAACAGCATAGTAAAAAGCACCAGATAAAAGTTAATAAAAATAATAAGGCTATCTTGCTTTTAAATTGGACATATTGCTCAAAATTTAAGTTGGAATTTAAGTTAAACTACTTTTGATTAATTTTTTGGCTAAAATAAGTTTAAATTAATTTCGTTAGAGTAAATATTAACAATAATTAAAATGCAACGATCCCCTACGAAACGTGGAAGACCACCACTTAATCGAACTAGACTAGAGAACAAACAGAATCAATTGTCCACATCGAATTCTAAACTCATCACGGACTATGGATCACACTCGAAAAAAGAATTACAAGATGATGTTATAGAGAAAGAGAATAATAATCTGATCTTACTTCAACAATGTTCTCAAAACTTTACAAGTGAGTCAAGCAATTCTAATTCAACACTACTAAATAACCCGGATACCCAATTAGACACTACAACTGCAATCTTATGGAATAAAATATCTAATTTGATAAATACTTCAAATGACAAACTGCTCAGCCAAATGACCTTAATAAAAGAAGACTTAGAATTAATACATAAAGATCTACGTGAAACTAAGGAACAATAAATAAAACTGGTGGAAAAATTATAGATTTAAAACAAAAGACTGACAATCTACAAATCGAAAATGAACACAAGTAATTTAAAATGACTAATAATTCAATGACTAATAAATCAATTTCGTTTAAATAAATATTTCCTCTACATTAATAATTATATAAAATTCAAGAATAATAAATGCTTTTTTATGTAACTCTGAGGAATTTTCACCTTTTCAATTGTTATTAAAATGTAGAAAACTTAATAGTATACATGATCAATATGAAATTGTTCGTATATGCAATAGCAACTCGCAACTTGATCTTACAATAAATTTAAACAATATTAATAAAAGGATTTAGATAAATTTATAATTATTTAATTAAAATAATGGATATATAAAAACTTAAGCTAATATCTTAAATATGTTTAAAAATAATCCTTCAAAATCGTAACGAAATAAAAATAATTTTAATATATTTATACAAAACTTCTATTATAATATAAATGTTTAACGCGAAATAAATGTATAAATTAGAAAATAATAAATAACTTGTAATGACCAAAAAACTACTGTAAAATATAAATGTAAATCTATCCAACTTATTTGATTGTATTCCCCCCGTAACAGGGAAATTATTCCCATTTGCAAATAAAGATTTGATTTGATATTCAACGCAAGAATTATTAGAAAAGAAATTAAGATTATTATAATTATAGGATTTTGAATGAGTTAATGTGCTTCCTGTTAATTGAATATTTTAGTATGGCTAATCCTATTTGCTCTTCAAAATGCAACACCAAATATCTGTATTCCAAATATAATTTCTGAAGACAGTTGTATTATTAAAATTCAAATTACAGGTAATCTTAATAATTAAAAAACTTTAACAATGCAATTCATTTGCTGTTAGATTGTGGTTTCATTAAAGAACAACTAAATTAAGCCATATGTTATGAACACACTACTTATGAACTATGTTTATTTTTAAATAATATGCTACATCTGCTAGCATTTATCATAGATTACCACAGATCACCCAATACACTACAGTTTTACAGGCTACTAAAAATTGGAAAAAAATAAGGCTTATTATTACTTGCAACTTTCAGATATACGTATAATATTAAACAGAACATGCTCATCAAATTAGCTTATCACAGCATGCCTTTCTTGTTGCCGAGATAGTTTTATTGAAAACCTACATTTCAGGCCTACTCTTCAAATTTTTTTAAGATTGTATTTAAGTTTGGAGATCACAGCAAGAACTTCAAAACATAATCCCAGTAAAGTCACAAAGTTTACATATAACAAGAATATGAAAGGAATTATAAAAGAAATTGTGAACTGCAAGAAGACAAGAATGGTTCTGAAAAGAGCTCCAAACCTATACACAATCTTAAAAAATAACAAAGATAACATTAAAAAAGAAGAAAAAGCAGGGATGTACAAGATTCCTTACAAGAACACACTAGGAATCAAGAAAGATTATATTGGTGTCACAACAAGAAATTTGGGGATAAGACTTAAAGAACACAAGTATGACAAGTTTTCAATAAAACTATCTTGGCAAGAAGTGTTGTGATAAGATAAATAATATCTTTGAAAAATTTCATAGGCATAAAATTACATCAGAAAAATATCTAGTCACATTATGCTTCAACATTTTAGATACTTAATGCTGATCTCTTAACTATCAAAGTTTAGATGAACAGAAACAAATAAAAGATGTATAGAGAATTAGTAGTCAGAAAAATTTTAAATAAATATATCTACAACACAAATTTTGTAAATTTTATAATCAAAATAGCTTACTGATTTCTTCAAATGCTTCGCTGATATTAACAGCAGTCAGAGCACTTGTTTCAATAAAAATTGCACCAATTTCTTCTGCATATTTCTTTGCAACTAAATGAAATATTTTAAATTATTGATTCATCATTAAAAATTATCATATATATAAAAACAAAATTTTCTACAGATACATTTTGAAAGAGTTATCTTTTATTTTTTTCCCACAATCTGTCTTCACTATTCATAACTATTAAATACACTGCTAATATTTTATTAATATTCATTTTCTGAATATTAATAAAAGATTATAGGATGAAGTAAGTAAATAATTTTCAGAAAAATTATATTATAGAATGCCTTTCCATATAAATTATTAAGTTTAAAGTGGCAGCAATTTATCACACACATACGCAAAATTATTATTACAAAAACAGTAAAATTCTAAATGGACATGGCTGGTTGACATTGCTGATTGGCTGGTTTTTGATTTCTCTATTATATGAAATTGATACTACTTAATAATAATAAAAAAAATTGCAAATAGAGCCATCAATAATTGGATTAATATAATTGTATGGGAGATAAATTATCATGCAGCTTATTATTGATTTATTTTTTAGAAGAGCTACTATAATTATGTATTTTTTCTTCATTAAGAAGACCGTCTTGAAAACCATTTACATTGTCTTATCTTTTTCACAGTAAACTTAAAAGAAGTATTCTAATTTAATTGCTACATTAGTTAGATTAATTATTATTAAAAATTGCTCAATATAATTTTACATGATAACACATTTAAAAATTAAATGTCTAACATGTTATTACTAATAAATCCATCTAATAATGCTAACAAAAATTATATATATAAGTCATTCCTCGATTTATGATTATCCATACTTACAATGGGTAAAACTAGTACATTAAAAGAACTATTTTTAAGTCCCAAAAATCCATTGCAATTGTTAACAGCACAATTATATAATTACTGTCAGGTAATACATAATGGGTAAAAACATACCATAGGTAGGTATATACTAACAACAGTAAAAAACAGTAATTAGTAAGCCTTATTCATATTTAACTCAGATTTATGTTATAAGCATCCAAAATGTAAACAAGCCAAACTTACTTTCTGTGAAATTGCTTAGTCTGGGGTAATTTTCTCATTTTTATTTTATAATAAGGGTTAAACTGAGCTTATAATTAAATTAAATTAATAAAAATTAATAATAAAAATAAAATAAATTACACACACAAATTGTAATATTACCTCAGATTTTTTATTCCTTTTAATATAGGTGACTATCTGCACATTTCTGTGATAATTTGTTAATAAAATGTAATTAATTGAAATGTTAAATGTTGGCATGACAATAACTTAAACAGTGCCACTCTATTGTAATATGGTACAACATACATACATAATATTATATAGGTTTATGTGTAATATTGGAAAATGTATTCCATTATTACTGTTATTTTTTTATGCTCAATTTATGACTTCAGAACTCTGTCATAAGTGAGGGACTGCCTGTATGTATAGACACATTTTTTTACTTTTATTTTCATATTACTTTCCCAGCTGTTATAACAAAGAGAAAGTATGGTGATCTGGCAAAAAATGACCCCCCAGATTTTTACATTTTTGGGCTCAAGACACCTTAAAATGTCAAGAAATGCAAAAAAAAAACTTTTGGGGATAATTTCTTTACATATATGGATGTTAGTGTGTATGTGGAGGGCACAATTTTGTTCTCCCTGTTTGAAGCTTAACTCCTGTGCTTTTTGTTGAAAATTTTTTTATTAAGGGGATTGATGCTATTAAATTTTGATGGTTAAAGTTCGACAAGATGAGGAGATAATGGAGGTTGTGCATATATCTCCAGTAGGGTCAGACTTACTTGTTAGTAAGTCTGACCCTACTGGACTAGTAAGTCTGATCCCTAACCTCAAAATTAAGATTTTTTTCCATTTTCTAATACTTAAAAACATAAAAAGTTTTTTTTAATAAAATATGAACAGATGGCATCAATAAAATTTTAAATGTTGCTGGGAAAGTTGAACAACTCATTGCTGGTTTATTAATTAACTTATTAGCACAAAAAGAAAATGTTTTAATGCTATTATTATTCATTTCTTAATAGTAATAACTACAATAATTTGATTTTATTTAACAATTCAGTTGAAAGGTGAATATTTTAACTGACTTTATTGAACACTAATTTTTTATTTAATATCAACATATTAATGCAATAATTTAAATATTTACCATTATAAGGCACTTCTCTTTTATCATCTAAATCACATTTATTGCCAGCTATTGTTAAAATTATGCTAGGTGGACCATGTAATTGTAATTCACGAACCCAACTTTTCACAGCTGCAAATGTACACTGAAATTGTAATAATCTGTAATTATTAGAAATCAGAAATAAATTAAATATTTATTGGCTAACTCCTATATTATCATTGTGATTAACAAAAGTTATTAAATACAGATGATTTATAATTTTTAATATTTAATTAAAAATTTAAATATAATACGTATAATTATATTTTATCTAAATATACAGACTAATTTAGATATATAAATATATTTTCTACAGCTAGGTAATCAATCATCACTGATCATTATCACAAGTACATGAGGTTATCTAATTAAATATTACATGAATTTTTAAATGTTCAACAATAATTAGCCAAGCAAATCAAATATTTTTTCTGATATTTGATTTTTCTGATCTTCAAATATTTGAAAAATATATATTTTTTCAAAAATATATTATAATCATAATTTAAGTTTAGTTATTACATGTCACCATTTCTTTCATGATACTCAAAGTTAATAACAAATTAATTTAACAATGTTAGATTACTATAAACTAAAAACAAAGAAATCTTATTTACACACAAAAACTAAAATTTTAAAACTTATTTTCTATATATTATTTCTACTTAAAATGTTTTAAGTGAAGAAAGTAATTTGAAATAATGACTTACATTTTGTGTAATGTCATACACAATGATGGAAGCCCCAGCTCCTCTATAATACATAGGTGCTAATGCCCGATACTATTGGCATAAAAATAATGTTTTTAATACAGAAAATATTTAAAATTAATTTATTTCATATTTTTTTTATTAATATGTTTAGGAAACTATTGATTTATTTTATTTTTGAATATAAGAAAGAAAAGAAATCTGACATATTTATGATAAAATACTTTGATAAATTAAAATTAAGTCTATTTCTTATGTTGGAAATAATTTTTATTTAGTAACAATGAAATAAAAATAAAATAGTTTATGACAAATATTGAATTTTAAAAATAATTTTTAATTTATAAATAATTAAGTACCTTAAAAGCTAAATTATACATACAGGATTTAAATTAATTATCCAGGTCATGCATTCCAAAGTAAAATTAAATTGTAAAAAAATATTAAAATTCACATGAAGATTCAAAGAAAACTGTTATCCTCTCCCAATCCATTTGGATAGAGAGAGAGAGAGAAAAGTTTATAATTTTAAGTGAAAACATATTTTCCAGTTAGAATTCTCAACTAACATATAAAACTACTTTCAAAGTAGTTGAACAGCATAATTTTAGTTAAATACAGCAAAAAAATTGAAAAGATTTCATTCTACATTATATATATATAGTCTTTCAGTTTAATATGATATTTTAAAATATTCTTCAGTATTTATTTTCAAATTAAGTATATTTATTGAAAAAAATTAATATTTATAAGCATTTGCATCACTCCTACTTTCAACTTACACATTCAAAAGATAATACAAAATGCAGAATCCTGTCTCAAATTCACACTGTATGCATTAAATGTAACTTCACAGTAGGAAAGTTATAAAGAATTAATTAAAACAAAAAAAACAAAATCTTTAATAGTTGAATTAGAGAAAAAAACTGGGATCAAAGAAGTTAGTAACAAAAGTGACATTGTGGACTTTAAAATAAATATTAAATTAAATCATTCATTATATATTGGTTAATAAAAGAGAAATGAAATCTTTAAACTTATCCTGCCATTTCCTTTATAAACATTAATTTTGATTAAAACAGAATTAATCACCATGTAAATTGAGAATTAGATGTATCCACATAAACACATCAAACTGAAACATCAGAATTTTGAACTTATTCTCTGTCCTATTATTCAAAATAGCAAAAGGTTTTTTGTTTTTTATTTCTCACATGATTTTAGATAAATATATATATATATATATATTGTTTATTATTTTAATTTGTTCTTTTGGAATGATGTAAACATATTGTGTGAATCACAATATACATGTAAAAGCAAATAGTACCAAATGATAATAGCTATTAAAATGTTTAAAATACTCACTCTTTCTTGTCCTGCAGTATCCCATATGTTAAATTTGAAAGTAAAACCATCAAGGACAACATTTTTTGTCATAAATGAAGCACTGAAATAAAATTAGGCTAAATTACTTTTAAAAATTTGATTATCTATAATAATAAACAATAATAGTTTATTGTCTTTTATAACTACAGTTATATCATCTATTAAAACTGATTGATACACAGTTTTGAATATAAAACTGTATCAATCAAAACTGTCATCCTATTGATTCATAAAATATTTGAATTTAAATTTAATATTGATACAAAGTGAAAATATCCTATCAATAATAGCATTTGATGTAACTGTGCAATGAAAAAAATATATTTTTCTAAACATTGCATTTCTGTAGAACAATTTCAAGTGTGTTTTTAATTTCAACCTACTTTATTTCACATATTTAAATCTCAATCTTTAATTTGCATAATTGATTAATCATACTAAACTTCCACAGTCATTTTATACATTGTTCTGCTGTATATGATTTACTGTTGGTTAGTTGATGGTCATTTAAACAGTTGAAAATGTTCATATTAATTAAACATATTGGCTAATTTATTTGCTGCTAAAAGATTTTAAGGTGTTTATTTTCTATGACTAATATAATCAAATCATACTTACACATTTCAGTAAGTTTTAACTAAAAAGACAATATTTTAAATAGTAAACAAACAATTATTTATTGTGACATCATCACAATGCCAGGCTGCAATTTTTAATTATATTTTATCAAAATTAATCATATTAAATTTGTTTAATTTAAAATATATCCACTCCATCTCAAATTAGTAGTGTCTTGCCCCTATACATCATACTTTTCCTGTTAGCAACTGGCTCATGTCATCCTATCTAACTCCTTACAGAAGAAATTTTTGAACTGAAATAATGTGACTTCCGGTTTGCATAAAAGTTCTTATACAGTTAATCGGGGCTTCCTGTCCCTAATCTTTCCATAACTGGTCTTGAATTTCAACTATCTAACTCTGTTCGCAAGATTAAGGAAGACTGACAACAGATGGATTCTTCAGTTATTAGTATCTGGCCGAAATGCATATTGTGAACAATGTTAAATGTGAAATTAAAAAAAAAATGAATGTGGTTCTTTGATAAAGATGTCACCTGTTCATTGTTTTGGAGTCTTGGTTAGAAACTGGCAGAAGAATATAATGGCATATTAGCCATATTGAACAATATAACTTCACTTGAAGAAATCTCTCTTCCACACACATTTTAACTTAATACAAAAATAATAATAATCTGTCTACCTCTAGTAAAAATACTTTATATTTAATTATTAAAATTAGCTTTAATATAGCCCAATAATCTGGCAGATTGTTTGCCTTTAAAAGTTTGAGAATGCTGAGACATAGAACCAAGGTTATTTTTCAGATGGAATGTGCTGTTATGCCATAAAGCTATTAGAAAAAATGAGCATTACATAGAAATAATAAATTTTTTATATATATATATTAATATAATTAACATGTGTGATTTTATTACTACCATTTTGGTGGAACGTTAATAAAAAGGCTTGGTTATAGCAAACTATACAGCAAGCACAATTCTTTATATAATAAGCTAAATGTCCTTTGCATTTGTGGAAACTTGGCACTAGTTTTCCTCTCTGTAAAGTTTTGTCCTAATTGTTTTTGCAAAAGTTTCTTCCTTGTGCCCTGGAAAATATATTTTCCTAGTTTTATTACATTCTGGCTCTAGATAAGGCTGAATAGTGAAAGTTTAAAAGTGACCTTATATCTTTATGAAAAAATAGCCTTAGAATTGATGACAATGATAACTTGAACAATAAAATTAGATAAATTTTCCAGTAGATAAAAGTAGAAAAGTTATAAAATATCAGATATTAAAAATAAACAAATATCAATTTATATAGAAAGCAAAACATTAAATCTATTTTTTTTAACAGAGAATAACTTTAACAAAACGTTATATTAAAATGAAATTATTTCAAACCGAGTTTTTAATGATGTTTAAAAAAAATTTACAATATTTAAAATTTGTTACTGATAAATTTTTAATTGATAATTAATATCATAATTAGTGGGCTAGCAGTAGGAAGTATGAAATATTGTGTGAATGGATTTAATTATTATTTAATGAAATCAACAATTTTATTATTCTCTAGAGGTTCAAAAAAAAAATTAGATCAAGTTTATTATAAATACCCAAAAATATACTAACAAGGTAAAAGGTTATTAATAACTTAAAGTAACAAAATAGTTTCATCCTATCAACAAATTTCTAAAATTCAGTAGTTTTATTATTAAAATTTTTACATGGTTTGTATTTTCACATAATGACTTGCAATTAATAGGATGACTATCATGCCAAAATATTGTAGAATAAAACAAAGACACTGAGTTCAGCATTACATGCGTACGTTTTTTATCGCAAGCACTTTCGACGAACTTATATCGTCATCCTCAGGCAAATACAGAGATTTACTGAAAAATTAAACGGAAATAATCCAATGTAGAATAGAACGCATAAAATATAAGCTGAAACTTTGTCAAAGCCATTAAGAACACGAAGTAAATATTCTCTGTATTCGCCTGAGGACGACGATTATAAGTTTGTCGAAAGTGTTTGCAATAAAAAAATGTATGCATCTAACACTGAACTCAGTGTCTTTATTTTATTTTATGACTTGCAATGCTTTATAAGAACAAAGATGTAACAAATTCTGCAATGCTTTTGGTAAAATCTATTTTTGGCATCATTTAATTTCTCTTGCAAATAATATGATTCTGTATAGTATAGGTTCAATGTTAATTAATTTTAGTATAACTTTGTAGTGAAGTTAAAAGACTATTCTTATTTCAAATTTAAATGAAAGAATAGCATGCAATTTTTTCAGGGTGAAGTGTTTGCAAGACAGAAATTTATCACAGCAGTTGTAATACAATATTGAAATTTTTTATGCAGCAGATTCCATTAAATAAATTACTACATCTCACCAGAAATCAATAGATGAAAGGATAGGTACCGGTACATGATAATGATTTATCATACAAATAGTTTGTCCAAATGATATTGAAAGAGAAATTGTGAACTGATAGACTATGTTTGCTGAAAAGACAATGGAATCATATAAAAAAAATTGCTTTTGCATATAAACAACTCCATAAACCTGATTTTGATTAAAGTCAAACAATCTACCTGATTATTGGTCCATAATAAAATAATTAGATATGAAGTAATTTGTCTAAGAGTAGGCAGTTAAGCTGTCATCCCATAATAATTAATAATTATAATAAATTAATTTTAATTTAGAAATTTTTGGAATAAAAGAATTGGTCAGGAGTGAGACTTAAACCTGCAACTTCTGCTTATTGTGCAGATGTGCTGCCAGTTACAATACCCAGACCTCTGTCCAACCGTTGCTTCCAAAATTATTATTAATTTAGAAATAACCATCAGGTCACTCAACGCACTGACTGGAGATGACTTAAGTGCCCACAACTCTTCTCCGTGGAACTCAGCTAACTATTATTAACTTAGCCTTATTATAGTCTAATAATATATTGTATGGATTGTTGTTGTAAATATTAAATTGTAAAATAGCACCTAATTTGCAAATGTCTTGTAAGAGGCTATTTTGAAGTAAAGGAAATGAATTTCACACTTCTGATATAAATGATCATTTTACAAAATAAATTTATAAAAATATCATTAGTTATTTTCAGTTAAAGATACTTCCCAGTAAAAATTACTGGGCCAGTATATTCTTTTTTCTTCAAGATACACCTTGTTAAATAGCAATAGATATAATTTAATAATAGATAGTAATTTAGTACATTTTCAAGATGATTACTTTTGTATGGGATTTCATAGAAATTGCTATACATTAAGAAATGTTTTAGTTATGTGATTAGTTGACACTGTTCCAAATATATAATGACAAGTAAAACTTTAAAATTCTGTATAATTTGTATTTAATTATATTTTGTGATAAAATAATTGAGCTAATATACAGATTAAAAATTGTTCTTTTATTTTTAATGATATACAGTAGACCCCCCTATAAAACGGGTTCATATAGTTCGGATTCCTATATGACGGTGAAAAAATTGCAACCGTATTTGTATAAACACGCTAAAAGAGACTCATATAATTCAGTAAAACGTCATCACCGACTCGTGTCGTGACAGGATTGGTCGAATCTAGACCAATAGCAGATATTGCACAAACCATTGAGTCTAAACAAGCAGCGAACCTACTAAAAACCATATATTATTTAACGGCCATAAAAGTTATATTTATATTAATGATGTCTCCAAAGTTCAGCAAAGTTTTCGCAGAAAAATAATTTATCATGATCTCTCATGGAGTGGTGTATTGAATGGTGAGTGCCATTTGATGCACCACTCCACGATGAAAACAAGCTTAAGCAATGGCATCGTCAAACGGTGCACACTTGGTAAGTAATCCTACAATTTTTTGTTTATAGCATAGTTTATATAGATTATTCCCAAAAAATTATACGTATTTTGGAAATGTTGAGTCAAATTAATGTACAATCGGTTAATTTTATGAAAGAAAACCTTTCAAACAGCCATAGTCTGTAAACTGCGTACATGCCGGGCTGTGATTGGCTTATGTATTTAAGAACTCATAAAAAAATGGATATCATAAAAACCAGAACATATCTAACATGTTATGGGGGGTTGACTGTATTCCATTAATAATATTTGCTAAATGTGAATTGTTTTTTATATATGAATTTAGTTAAACTTGTATCAATAATTTTGTTATATAAATAGTAGTAAGAGAATAAAGTAGATTTAATTTGAAAAATTCTTTTACCCTATAGTACTTTCTGAGGTAGGATTAAATGTGTTATTAACAAATCTTCGAACAATACTTGATTTTCCCACACCAGAATCCTAAAATAAACATACACAAAATAAAAAATTGCAAAATTTGTATTATTTTAAAATTTAATTTTAGCAATATTAAAAATAATGATCTAATTTAAAAATCATAATTTTAAATCAGAAATTAAACAAAATATTTTAATTTATTCGATTTTGATTAACATTTTTCAGTAATTTTGATTTTACTCGGGGAAATTGATTTGTTGCTCAAATCAGGAAATGGAATATTAATTTTAAATATATTTCATATGGTTATGCTATTAAGAATTATAAATTAAGAGTAAACTTATCGGGGTTGTTTCAAACATCCCATTTCATATAACAGTTCATCATAATTCAAAAATAAGAATATATTAGTTTGTTAGTTTTAATATTTATTAAGTTTGTAAAAATATAAGTTTGTAGTTGGTATTATCATTTGATATTCAAAAATCAAATGTAAGGCTTCTTACATTTGATTTTTGAAATTATATATTTCACTAAGATTTCTTACATTCTTTTAATTTTTTTTCATAGATTCATAATATTGAATCTATATTAATTCATATAGATAGTATGCTAATAAGTTCTGGTACAAAATTTGCCTAGTTTTTGGCACTGACATTCATTTAAATTTTCATACAATCCCATTCACTGAACACTTTGAATTCTATGTAAGTTTCAGTCTTTATTCTGTTAGCCATAAAGGAACTAAAAAAAAAAACAAACAGTTCTGCAACTTTTCTTCAAAGAATAAAAAAAAAATCTGAAATTTGCCAAAATCTGGAAATGCTACAAGAAACTTACTGTACATACCAATAAGAAGTATGAGGAAACCAACAGTATTAAATTTTTCTTTTCCCAATAACTTCCACTTAATTGTATCTTCAATGAAACTTATGTACTAATTTTTTCGGAAATACAATCAAGACTTCTAGCACCGAAAAAAGACTTCAAACTTAAAACTTTAACATATGATAATACCTATCACATGTTGACACTTACTTAAAAAGAAGAAAAGGTTGATTTGCCATCATTGCCTTTTGCAGAGGTATGGAGATGATGTGAAATGGAGCTTACTGCTCGTTCAGTTTTCGAACATATTTGAATATTTGTTTTGTGTTCGTAACAGCTTTGACAAAAGTTTCAACTTAAAATTTTAAGCATTCTATTCTACATTGGATTATTTCTGTTTAACTTCTCGGTAAATTTCTGAATTCACCTGATGACGATGACTATAGGTTCATTGAAAGTGCTTGCAATAAAAAACGTACCTGTAACACTGACCTCAGTGTCTTCTACATTTTAGTATGATGTGAAAAAATATGCTCTTCACAGATAAAATTTTTTGTAGAAAAAAAATTCAATAAGCAAAATGACTATGCCAAATCAGAGAAAGATATTCGCACACAGTTCAGACGTCTGAAAGAGTTCACCATCCCAAAAATATGATGGTCTGGGCAGGGATCAATTGGCAAGGAAAACCAGAAAAAAAATAGCCTGCCATGTCATCTGATCTGAACCCACTGGATTAGTCCATGTGATCAAAGTTTGAGTTAAAGGTTTTGCTAGATATTATAAAAGTGTTGAGATTCTTAAGAAATTCCGTCTGTGAAAATGGGCTGCCTTTCTTATGAAAAGCATTCATATCACAGAAAAGTGGAGTTGATGTAGCCTTTATCCAAGGATGAAAGGCTATAATCAAAGCATATGGTGGATACATTAAACATTAGAAATACATGTTATCAACCCTTATTATCTACTTTTTATTTTAAAAATTGTTTGTTATAATGTTACCTTTTAATAAACTTGAATTATAGACATTTATATCTGTACCAGGATTTATTAGCATATGGGGTGTAGATACACTAACAAATCCAGAGTTTTGATCAAATCAGAAGATCCAAATATTTATTAACTAGGACATCACACGACAAAGTTGTGCAACTATCGCAATACAATTAAGGCAGGGCCAGAAAAGAAAGAAATGATCCCTGCCCTTGTTAGACACAGAAGAGACAATCCTTCTGGCAGATGTAAACAGGTCAACGTCGCATTTGCTGCCACAAAAGAGACAATACTTATACCAGCCACTTACATCAGCCATGGGAGTCACAATCCTTGCACTGGTCAGGTACGGAGAGACAATCTTGCACTTGTTGACACTGAGGTGCGATCCAAGAACAAAGCAATTGCCATCGATTGCTTTGGTCTTGTGTTTTGTTTGTTTTTCACACCTATTTTCTGTTAGGTGCATGCAATGCTATTCATATTTTTGACTCCTAGGTATAAATTCCATTAGTGCAGTCAGTCACATCAGAGTATGGACATTGTCAATTTAACCTCTCTCTATATTGAAACCCCTCAATCCCTATTTTTATACTTAAATGGACACTCATTACATTTTTGGATTCCTCATCACAATTAATGGAAAATGGCAAAGTTTTATCAAAATCAGTCCATTAAATTTTGAGAATAAACTCAACTCTATAGCAAAACCCATAGAAGATATGGTAGCAATCATGAAACATCACATGACAAAGTTTCGGGATTTTTGTTATATTGCTTTGTCAATCGCTTGGAAATGAAGTCATAGACCTCCATTTATTGAATTTTTGGATTGCTAGTCACAATTAATGGAAAATGGCAAAGTTTAATAAAAATTGATTAAACAGATTTTGAGAACAAAAACAATTCTATAAGCCTCATAGAAAAGGCTTCGATAATGCTCTGCCTCAATTAACTTTGTTCTAATTATCAAAATAATATTTACAAGATACAGCATTATCTACTTTTAAGCAAATTACATTATAATCAAAATGTTAATAAAAAAATATTCAATATTTGATTCAAATTGATAAACCATTTTGTTTAAAGTTAATTCCACACTGATTCATTTAACTTAATACAAGAGTCAGAAATGTATATCATTTGAAACAATTATCAATAGTAAAAATCATTTGAGTTTTTATCTTAACTTTATTAATTTTGTCTGAATCAATCAATATATTTAAGACAATACTATATTGTCAAATCTAGACTGTTTCTATTATAACAAAGGTTCCCAACATGTATTCTGCAGGTTCTATGGAACACAAATTAGAAACCAATAATAAAAATTTGGGGTTCCACAATAAAATCTGTTGTCTAGTGATGTACGAATTTGCCAATGCAGATTTGAGACATGAGATGTTATTGTTTTAGTCTCAGATCAAGTCCTTGTTTAACCATACAAGGACCGAGACTATACACATGCTAAAGTTATTTATAGCTTTATAAACAGTAGGATTGATTTATTGGTAATGGATATAATGTTTGACGAGGAAATGGAAATTATGAAAACAGTAAAACAAACTAAAGCTATAAAATCATAACCTTAAAAAGGATCCAACATATAAATAAAAATACAAATGTTAAATCTGTATAGATATATATTAAAAGCAAAATGTTCTGTCACCATTGCATGCAAATAACAAATTTAAAAATAAATTTGATTTACAATTTGAAAATTTTAAAACAACTTTTGAATGGTTTTTAAAAACATTGTTTTAATTTTCAATTGATTTGATTTCAATTTTAATTAATTAATTTTGATCATATTTATTTGTTTACTTTTGGTTTTGGTGTAAAGTGGCTACCTAGTATGCTTTAACTTGTTTATATCTGTAGGGTTCCAACATTTTTTAAGGTGAAAAGTGTTCTTGATAAAAATAAGTTAGGAACCTCTGCATTGTAAGATTGTCTTACAGATTACTATAACAACAACCTAATTCATAACTGTCTACATCAGAGTTAACCAAACTATGGCCTGGAGACCAGATCCAGTCCACGAGGTCAGTTCATCGAATCCACCACCACACTGTGCCACAAATGAGCTAAAATATAATTATTTATATGGAAATATCACAGACTGTAGATAAACTTACTATGTAGAAAAAATTAAAACAAGTGTAAGTAAAAATGTCTAAATTTGTCAATCTAATTTTTGCATCTGACGGTAATATAATTTTTAGGAAAATCAGTAAAATAAAAAATTTGGTGACTTTTTGCAGACTTTGGATACCAGTGGGTTTTTTGTATAAGTACCTGCAATGAAATTTCTAAGAAAAGCGATTATGGGTCTGCTGCAGTAATTGTGTTTTAACTTGTATTGCCATGTTTAGGGATAGCAATCCAGCAGTGTTTTCAATCCAGCTGGATTTTTGCTGGATCAATATCATTCCAGCTGGATCCAGCGCGGATCCAGCACAGATGTATTTTTGGTGCAATAAAGTGTTATCTATCTATCTATCCATCCAGTAATTTATGGTTTTTTAAAGAAATAAAACATTTTTTTTAATATTTAAGAAACTTTTATTATTTAGACTAGTCACTATACAGTAAATCAGTAAAACTTCTTACACATTTACGTAGTAAACTTAATTTTGGTTCGGTTTAACACTTGAGATAGAGATAATTAACTTTAAATGTTTAGTTAGATTATAATTATAATGTAATCTTTAAGTTAAATAATAGCAAAGGTAATTCTACTAATTAATTTATATTAATATATTATATTATAATAATGTAAGGACGGATAATCAGTGGCTAAGTGGCTATCAGTCTTACCAGTTTTCTTATATAGGCTCTACATATCAGTCTGTAGTTATTTATAAGTAATTTAATTATTAGTGTTAGTAAAGTAGTGAGTAAGTAATTAGTAGTAGTCTAGTAGTTAGTTATTATTATCACAATCATGAATCACATACATTCATATCATCATATATCTAAGATACTGATACTCATTAATTTAATTAACTATTTAACTAACTAGGTAGTCTCAGTTTCTCACTAATTTTCACAATAAAATTGCCTAGCCTAGCCCACTAACCACTTATAGAATAAAAGTTAAAAACTCTTACTTAATAGAATTAGAGTAGAAGTTATAAAATATTAGTCTTGTCTTGAATAAAGTATTTTAAAGGATTAAATAAAATTAAATCAATCACTTCTTTTTTTTTTTTGACTTTTCTAAAAGTAGGATCTCAAGAAACAAATGGTATTGATGGTGTTGTCTCCCAACCTACTTCTTAATGAACTGCATATATATCCCGCTGCGGAGAAGGCTCTTTCTGCCTCTATGCTAGTTGGTTTCAGGGTCATCAAATAATCATAAATTAAAGATAAGTTTTTACCTTTGACTCCCTCACGTTCATAAACAGCCATTTCCTTTTTTAATAACTTATCATAATCCTTCTCAGTACTAGTTTCTTTTCGTTTCATGAAGTTTTCTTTCTCACGCTCTAGTTGGATCTCCGATTCTTATTCCAATGTGAAATTCAGGGAATGAATGCGGGTTATCTGGATCATCGTTTTCCGTTTCCATAATATCCTCAGCCATTGCTGCTGGTTCCACTACATATGTATTTACTCGATTCAGCATATTTTTCATCTGACGCATTACATTTTTTTCGGTATTGTGAACGAATAATCGTGCTTTCTAACTTTTTGGTTATAGTTTTTCGGGTTCTGTATGTAAATCAGCATCCCTGTGACCTCGATAAGACGCCGTTCTCTGATTCTTTTGCGTCCTGGCTTGTGTCCTGGGTTTTTAGTTTGTCTAAGATAAATTTCAGGGTTGTGTCAGCAGTTATCAAACTCGACTCTCTTCTACAGAGAGCTTTTACGGCCAGTTTATAGGTTAGGTTTCGTGGACAAGCCACAAGGCTGCAGCTCTTTATAGGCTTAAACTGAGATCATTCCATCACATGATTCATTGATGTCACAACCGACCGTAAATTAGAATTATGCACCAGGACTAGGAGAGGAGTTACTTATTTTATTTAGCACGAAGACACTTTATTTGGCGAGAGTGAAAAGTCAACTGACAATTAGATCAGCAGAGGTAAAAGGGCAGGCAGTGCAGTGTAGAGAGGGGGTGTAGCATGTGCCACACTGAATGGCAACGTCACCCTCTCTGCCGAGCGATAGCACATGTAGAAACGCGGCAACACCGACAACGTAGACTTTTGCGCCATTATTTAGAAAGTTAATTGAGTATTTGCAGATCCAGCAGGCCAAAGAATACGCTGGATCCAGCTGGATTGCTGAATGAGAGATCCAGCAATTGCAATACCTAGCCATGTTAAACATGGCAATACAAGTTAAAACTATCTTATTGCTAATGTTGCCTTCTTTGATAACATTTTGGTAAATATGTTTGTTGTCTTTATTTTTTGTGTATTCAGTGTATTGTATTGAACAAAATGGTTATATGGCCCACACTTATTCTCAGGTATCTGGCCCACTGTGAAGAAAAGTTTGGTGACCCCTGGTCTAGACCAACAAAAATTTTATTAACAAGCACAACTTATTCACTAGATAGACTATTTTTACATTTTTAAAATTCAAAAATGATGTAATAAGAATATAAAATGAAAAAATTTCTTTCTATATTATAATTTATGTAGTAATTCCTGTAAATAGTCTTTACAGATACATTTTCACATATTCACTGATCAGTTCAATATATTATTATGCTATAACAAACAAATTAGCATGAAATAGTTTTGTACATAGTATTTATGACTTTCAGAAAGTCCAGTATGATTAAACTGCTTTATTTATTTATTTTATCAATATATTTTTAAATATCTTTGTTGCTGTTTTGTCTTTTGTATAGCTGTTACATGCATTCCTATGCTACTTACTAATGTTGTTTAGTCTGTACAGTTTATATGTCTATATTTATTTATTTATCATACTATTAGCCCATATGGCTCATGCCAAAAAAGTCAACCAATCAACCAAAATTAAAATGAGAACTACATACTTTTTAAGATATATTAAATATTTTATTAATTTTGATTTGTATTATTAGATTTTTTATGTTAAATGAAATAACCATAGGCTTTGAAACTTGGTTAATGTACAGTATTTTCTATTACTGCTTGTTATAGAGACCAATCTTAACAGAGAATCATTCCCAATTATAATTATTTATAAGATTTGGTTTCCATAACAAGCAATAATAAAAAACATAGTGAAAAAATCATTTTTTGCCAATTAAGTAAGTTTTCTGTAGTAGTAGTTATATATGCTTGTAAATGGCTAGTGAGAACAGTTATGAATATTTAACTTTCATCACTAATTTGCATATTTTATTACTAATATTTACAGGCTTGTTTTTTACTCCCCAAAGTATATTTTTCTCAAAATGTCAACAGTACTATTTATATTATCCAAATCTACAGTATTGTCTTCTAGAAGAAGTCTGTTTTGTTTATTTAATATTTTGAACAAGATAAATCCATCATCATCAAAATATAGTATAAAAACTGAAAAAAAAATAAATTTAATGTAAGAAAGGCAAAGAAAACAGTTTACAATTAATAAAAACAAAGATTTATTATCCATTATTATTATTTATTTATAATTTAAATACTGAACCTAATGATGACCATTGAAGACAGTGAAAACATTTGTTCCTAATAAATTTAAAAATCCAGCAATATTTTACATTCAATTCAAATGTTTTGCTAGAAGAATTTAAGAAAATTATGACATTCTCATCTGAATCCATTATAAAATGTATTTAAATTGTTAAACAGAATAAATTAAAGCAGTGATTCTCAACCTTTTTTCATCACAGTACACTTTTAATAAGTTAAAAATTTGGTGGCACGCACATTTACTTTGGAAAGTACCGCAGGACAACCAGTGACATAACAACAGTGATTTTTAAACGCCATTCGTTATTTAGGTCACATTTTCTAAACACCTTGATAACTAGTGGCAGTTATTGGTAATACTGGTTACAGTTTCCAAACATTCCCTAGGAAGGTAGAACAGATTGAACTACTTGTTTGACATCTTTTACGTGTGGGTATTCCCAGTGGCAGCACACTTTAAAAATCTCGCAGCACACTAAAGTGCCCAGCAGAGTGGTTGAGAATCACTGAATTAAAGTATAAACAAGTAAGATTCTAAACAATGTATATTTTGAATATGTTACGAGGAATGTTCAAATAAAAAGGTACAAAATGACATCAAAACCAAATCTGTTGAAATGGGAACATGCCACTTTGGTATACCATAGTGAGACAGCTAGGGACGTGAATGTAGTGTCTGGTGTGGTTATGTGTCATGCGCGTGCAACTGCACATGACGCAGGAGAGAAGCAGACAGTTGTGTGTTCTCCAATTGACGTGGCAGTGCGTGTGAGGACATCATGGTGTTCACATTGTAAAAATCAATGATTGAGGAGCAGCAAGGTGTTATCAGATTTCTGACTGCAGAAGGTGTTAAACCGGCTGACAAACGGCCTGGGCTGCTCGCGGAGAGAGTGATTCTACTCCACGATAATGCGCATCCACATATCTCCAGGGTCACACAAAGTGTAATGGCCAAGTTCAAGTGGGAGCAGCTTGAGCATCCACCCTACAGCCCAGACATGTCATCCTACAACTTCCATCTGTTTGGTCCACTCAAAAAAACATCTCAAAGAGAAGTGCTTCAACTCGGACGACAAACTGAAGAACACAGTGGAAGACTGGCTCTTATCATAGCCACAGGAATTCTGGAAACAGGTAATCCTTTGGCTCGATAAACAGTGGAATAGTTGTGCTCAGGCCTCTGGTGATTACTTTGAATAAAGACTTCAATTATACCCACAGTGTCATTTCATACCTTTTCATTTGAACAACCCTCGTACTTGTTAATGCATCTTTATATCACAACTCACTACTGAGAGACTGTTATGATATACAAACTGTATATATGATAATCAAATCAAAACAAAATAAATTAATTTAAGCTGTAAAAACATGTGGAGCTTTATTATATTTTATTATAATTTTTAGAAGTTAAATATATATTGAATATAATAATTTACTTATTTACAGTTAAAAAAGCAATTAGTTTACAGACAATACATATGAATTTTTCATTCAATATATGTGTATGATAAATGTATATATATGGTAAGCATGTATATTGGATGCACATTATAAATGTAATACATACTATATTTATTCTAATAAACAATGCAGTTCTAAGATGAAAAAGTTATAAATAACATCCTCTAATAACAATGCTGAGTATTGAAGGAAGATAAGATTGCACATTCTATTCAGTCTTTTCACTCTTATCATACATTAAAGTGTGAATGTGTTGAGTGTTATATTGTTACTTGAATAATAATAAAGTGGAAAAAGTTACAGGTTTTATTTGGTTAATCATCGCAATTTCCAAATAGAATAGTCACCTTCTAACAAACCTTCACATACTAATAAACGGCACAGCTGTAAGATGAAAAAATTTTAGACAGTGCAGTTTATTAGAATAAATAAGTCTACAGAACATTGCTTCATAAAAATCCAATAAAGCAATTTTTTTCTTAAAATTTGAGAGAAAATTATCAATTTTTTTACACTAATAAATTTAACAAAATTTTTATTTGACTTTAAAATAAAACAGAATAGTTTAAAAAATTTCAATATTTTGAAAATGTTTGTAATCATTTTTTATTTATAAAATTTAATTTATTATAATTACAAATTTAGCATTTTGACTGATTTTTCTAAAATATCAACATTCTAAATTTTAATACAAATAATTAACATTTTAAATAAATTGATGGTAAACCAAAATACCTTGGAATCAATCAGCAAGAATTTAATTTTTATTACACTCGTACATCAATTCCTCTTTTTATTTATTTAGTCAATTAATTGACTCTCAAGGACTTGAAATTCGATTTATAAATTAATTTGTAAATTACTTACGCCAAGTAAACATATTTTGATTTCTTGTACAGCCATGTCCTGTGTTACTACTATCTGAAATATATTTAATAATTAATAATGTAATAAATAAATAAAACAGTTTATTTGGATCTATCTTACAGCATCCAACAAATCATCTCCACCCCTTTCCTACACGAACATATGAGAAAACTGCAGCGCCCTCTTAAAATAAATTTCGTTTTAAAAATAATTTATTACAAATTTCGAAATTTTATTTATTAAAATAAATATTGTGAAATTTAAAATAATATCCCAAAAATAAATAACGAGCTTGAATTTACGATAATTATATTATTTTTAATGTGCACATTTTAAAAATTAACAATTTCTGCCGTGCCGAAATAATATAAAAATACCGGGTCTGATTAACGATGATGATTCAATTTATATGGTATTTAATTGGTCAATCTACCCATAAAGAAATATACTATGAGAAACTAGTCTCTATTAAGATGTTAAAAGCCCGGAAAACTCCATACACGTTGGTTAGATGCGAACCCAGGTCCAGTCTTTCGGTGTGTGACAGCTTTGTTCCTTACCACGTCGGCCATCCGGTCGTCCTTAAACAATCTTCAGAAATAAAGTGAAGATTGTTTAAATTATTGAATGTCACAGTATAAAATAATAATACTGTCGATAAAGGAAATGTGTTGTAGTATTTCATATTTAAAAAAAGTAATGACTGTCATTGTTTCATTATTGTAGTGAACAGTTAACTTATAAAAGATATGATACTGTTTAATATATGATAAATATATCATTTATTAGAAATGTGATATAACTTTTTAAAAATAATTATGTCTACCATAACGATGATATAAGATGATTAATTGTTGTATTGTTTATTTAATTTTATAATGTTATGTATAAGATAACTTCGTATCGTTCATTAATATTTAAATAAAAATATTCCCTTGCCCCAGGATTTTAAAAAGATGCGTTCCCCCTCTTTCCATCCTATGGACACTAAGATGTCTTTTTCTATTCCCCTCGGAGGGTTCGACCAAGCCACGGTGAGAGCGGCCGAGTAGTGAGGAATGGACCACCAAATATCCATGAAAAATTCCCGGAGAATTTCTAGTTCGGACTTAATTCCAGATTTCCAGAGCAGTACGCAGACTTATTAACAATATACTGTATGAACTTCCAATGCAAACCGGAAATCACGTTATTTCCATTCAAAATATTTTCCGTGAAAGGAATTAGATAATACCTGGCATGACTCAGTTGCTAACATGTGATGTACAGGGGCAAGGCACTACTAATTTGAAGTGGGGACATATATTTTAAATTAAATAAATTAAAAATATGATTAAAAATTGCATCTCGGAATTGTGACGATGTCACAATAAATAATTACTCGTTTTATTTAATTTAATACTCAATTTTTCCCATATAGAAAGGGTTAAACCCTAAATCTCTCCGTGTGCAGTGCCTTGGGAATATCATAATCCTAATTTGAATGCGTTTGTATTATACAGTTTGACTTATCATTAAGAATTTTAAAAAATCAATAAAACAAAAACACAGATATTAAAACAGTATTTAACTCTTTTAGTAAATTGTTTAATAACTAGGTCGATATTTCTGTTACCAAAAACTAACTTACGTAACGCTGTAAGAAATGTATATATAATTCATTTTCTTCTTGACCTCATTATTTTTTATATATATATATATATATTATCTCTTCGAAAAGTATTGTATTTATTTTATTTTAAATTCAAATAACCAAGGAGAAATTTTATATCTAATCTATTTAATTACACAGTATCGAATTTACGGGGAAAAATACAATGAATATCATTAGTTTAATACCAAAGATCTGTAAAGAATTTAATATCTTTGCAAACAAGGTTAAGAGTAAAAGATTGCATAAGATGGTATTTAATTTAAGGACAAACTTTCTAACTAGTTTAACACTTTCTGCAATAATTTCTAGGACACTTCTACAGTAAGACACACTATTACATCGGGAAAACATGGAAAATAATATCGTCTATTCCTTTTTATTGTGTTTTATATCACGTCACGAACGTTTATTTGAGTCTGTTGGATTGCTATTTGTAATTTTCTTCGTGTGTTCTGCCATATTGAATATCCGAAGATTATTTAAAATATACATGCAGCAAGGTCCATTAAGTTCTCTCGAAAGGAATGGAGAGTATGCTGTACTAATCGGAGCTATGGAAGGAGTTGGTCGATCCTCAGCATTTGAATTGGCTAAACGAGGAATGAATCTCGTAATAATAGACAACGATATTAAGGAATTGTATGCTTTATCAGAAGAAATTAAGTCAACTTATGGTGTTAAGTGCATTTTTATAAACGCAGATTTCATTGAGGACGATTCTGTTTATCAAATCATTTCCGAGAAATTATCCAATAAAGATGTTTCGCTATTGATTAATTTTTCCGACATCATAGGTAAGCAATCTTGTCTCTTTTTAAACGAAACGAACGAAAATATTCAGAAAATGATAGCCATTAATATGGCTTCAGTATTAAACATGATTCGGATAGTTTTACCTGAGATGCTGCGAATGAAAAAAGGTACTATAATACATGTGACCCGATTGACTGCAACAACACCTACTTCGTATCTTAGTCTATATTCTTCTCTCAAAGGTTTTGTGCTGCACTTGACTGAAGCATTAGACATGGAATACGAAGATCTGGAAAAACCTTTACATTTCGAAACAATATTTTCTTTAGATCGCAATTCCGATTCAAATGAACTATTTAATTTTCTCCGATCCAAAACTGTTGGCAAGGCAAACTAATGAATTTATCGAGAACTTTTGATACTTTTGATCAAAAGATTGGAACATTTTATATAAATTCTATGATATTTTTAAGAAAAGGGATATTCTTGTTTTTAACATTGTATAAAATAATTATACAAATATATTTTATCTTCAAATAAATAATTACTATTAAAAGATTTTAGTATTTGTAATTATTTATTTCTAAAATAATAAAAATAAAGTAATAAACTTTTCTTTATTGTAAAATGTATATAACACATGTTATTCAAATATATTACATATAAGTCTATGTATATTGTATTGCATGTATTTTACAGAGTATACAAGCCTATGTATGCCCTGTAAAATATGATAATACAAGGCAGGTCAAGCCGGTCTAGTCATAGCCGGACCAAGTTTTGCTAATAACGTTACGAATATAAGTATAATTTCAAATCACTAGCTAGCGTGCATTCTTAGACCAGACCAATGGACTTTTCCATAGGAGAAAAGGGTTAGCGATGCCTAAGGTCACCTTAGATGCATAAAGTAGCTTGTCTTTGGATATGAGTTTCCGTTATTACAGATGAACATCCAGCTTCTTTGGTTTCGGAACTTTCTTTTCATCTTTGTAGTTTCTTTTAAAAAGTTTTCATGATGACATTTTTTGAGATTTATGAGGTAGTCCTATCGTGCAGTAGGAGACACGACGCTAATTAAAAATAATTATTTATTGCTATTAAACATCCTATAAATACTTTAAAATAGTTTCATTTGTTTATTTATCTTCGCTGGTAACATTCGTCGTTGTTAAACGTTTCCATTTTTCATAACTCATAGGATATTTCCTATGAGTTAGTGCGCGACGTGAACGTGTAGCGCAACGTGTACTTCTGCTTGCCGTACAAGTTTAACGTTTGAACTTCGGCCGCAACCTTTCTAATATCCCACTCATGCGTCGACTTAAATGGCTTTACCCGCCCAGGGTTGGATCACTGGACCCTAACGCCCTCCAAAGGCCCTAATCTGGTCTCGGCTAAGCTTTCCCCTATCTTGTCCGGTGGCTGGGGTTTCTTCCCCGGTGGGCCGTCGGTTGGAAACCGGAAAAGAGACAGAAGGGAATGCAAATGTGCCAGGTTCTTTGTTATCCGTAATTTAAATTTGCTTCGACTGGAATGTTTCGAGTAAGGCCAGTGCGGGTGTTCCTGGTAACGCGCGGTTTTGCAGATCCTTCGTATAAAATTTTGCAGTTTTTAAGTGTAAACTTCGTTATACCGTATTTTTTTTTTTTTTTTTTTTGTAGAGTAAGCACGCGCTTCGTATTAGATTTGCCCGCGGATTTTACAATATCGACGTTTTTAAATTATTTTGTTTTACTTTAACGGAAAACGATGAGGACAAGGAAGAAAAAAATCGTCCTTTTCCCATCGACCGGATGTCGTGGTCTTCTCCTTCTTCGTCTTCTCCTCCGGGTTTTATATGGAGATTATGGCCTTAGTTCGCTTTCTCTCCGACTAGCGTCGCCGTCTACCTAGTTAAATCGGCCTGTCCTTAAAATGTATCTCTCGAGTGTATTCAAATGTTTCCTAGGGTGAGTGTCCGCTTTCGGCCAATAAATTGGGGACAGAGTTGTTACTATAGTGATGTCCAATGCCATACTACGACCCAGCTCCTGACGGGCCTCCGCATAAATCGGGCAGTACAACCAATAGTGACCTGGTGTCTCTGCTTTCCCACAATGACGGCAGTCTGGGGTGGAGAGTAAGCCCCGAGAGTAAAGGAACGCGTTTAATTAATTTAATGGTGCCGTGTCCGTCCTTAGGCGGGCTATCAACGTCTCCGCTCTCCGATTCGAGGCAAGATTGTACGGCCAGGGGTCGAAAGGCCGGAGGTGATCTCTCCCCTTGTTCCGGTGGACCTCTGACCATGCGTCCGTTAGTGATTTCCGTATCCTATCGCTCGTAAGGCGGTGGATGTCCGTGGGCATGAGGGGGCCCCCGCCAAGACCCGATGAGACTTTCCCTCCTTGCAGCCCTGTCAGCCTCTTCGTTTATTATAATCCCGGAGTGACCAGTTCATACAAGTACTAGGGGATCTGGAAAAGAGTGTATCGACGATGTTGTGGTCGTTGTGGCTTTTAGACTTTATCCTTCGACACCATCGCTGTCTTTTCCTTTTATAGATTAATCTTCTTATTTATTAAAGTTTATTTAAATATTTTTAGATGTGTTATTAAGCTTACTTTAACCGTATAACTTATTTACGAATATGGCGGCACTCAACAAATTTTCGATTAATAACTTGGTTTCGTATTAATTAATAATATTAAAGACTTAATTTTGAGGGTGGGACGAATTGTATTAAAAAATTGTAAGTACTAATAACCGGTAAAATCTGGGTTTTCTGGATGCCAAAGTCGGCCCACCCGCATCCACCCCTCCCCTCCACCTTGGACCGGCAAAACGTAATGGTATCGACGTCCCTTACCAATAAGTTACCTTGACTTATCTTACTTAATGTAATACAGTCGATCCGCCTATAAGACGGTAGATACGTTCCGTTCTTTATGAATCAATTTTGTAGGAATCACAGCCAATCACAGCCTGACACGTGTGAAGTTTACGGACTATGGCTGTTTGAAAGGTTTTCTTTCATAAAATTAATCGATTCTAGACTAACCGACTCAACATTTCCAAAATACGTATATATATATTTTTTTTTAGAATAATCCGTATAAACTACACTATAAACAAAAAATTGTACGATTACTTACCTAGTGTGCACCATTCGACATCGCCGTTGCTCAAGCTTGTTTTCGTCGCGGAACAGCGCAGCAAACCGCGGCCGCGATTTCTGATGTTATTTTTCTGCGAAAACTTCG